GCAGATGCTGGGGAGGGTTTAGAGAAAGAAGAACACTCCTCCATTGCTGGTGGGACTGCAAGCTGGTACAACCACTCTGGAAATCAGTCTGGCAGTTCCTCAGAAAATCGGACATAGTACTATCTGAGGGCTGGGCTGTACTCAGAAGATGTTCCAACATGTAATAAGGATGCATGTGCTACTATGTTTATAAAAGCCACATGTATAGTAGCCAAAAACTGGAAACAATCCAGATGTCCCTCAACAAAGTAATGGATACAGAAAGTGTGGTATATTAACACAATGGAATATTAATCAGCTATTAAAAACAGTGACTTAATGAAATTCACAGGCAAATGGATGGAACTTGAAAATATCATCCTGAGTGAGGTAACCCAATCGCAAAAGAACACACATGGTATTCACCCACTGATAAGTGAATATTAACCCAAAACATCAGAACACCCATGATACAATTCATAGGTCAAATGAAGCTCAAGAAGAAAGAGCAAAGTGTGGATGCTTCAGTGTTTTATAAAAGGGGGAAAAATATTCACAGGAGAAAATACAGAGACAAAGTATGGAGCAGAAACTGAAGGACAGGCCATCCAGAGACTGCCCCATCTGAGGTTCCATTCCTTATATAGTCAACAAACCTGGACACTATTGTAAATGCCAAGAAGTACTTGCTGACAGTGGCCTGATATAACTGTCTCCTGAGAGGCTCTGCCAGAGCCTGACAAATACATAGGTGGAGGCTCACAGCCAACCATTGGACTGAGCCTTAGGGTTCCTGATGGACAAGTTGGAGAAAGTACTGAAGGAGCTGGGGGTTTGCAGCCCTGTGGGGGGAGCAACAGTGCCAACCGGACACATCTTCTGTACCCTCTGGGGACTGGACCTCCATCCAAAGAGTTCACATGGAGGGACCCATTGCTCGAGCTGTGTATGTGGCAAGGCATGGCCTTGTTAGACTTCAGTGGGAGTAGTGGCCCTTGGTCCTGTTGGGGTTCAATGCCTCAGTGTATGGGAATGCCAGGGCAGGAAGGCAAGAGTGGGTGAATGGGTGAGTGAGCACATTCATAGAGACAGGGCATGGGGATGGGGTAGGGGGTTTCTGGAGGGGAAACACAGAAAGGGAATAAGATTTGAAATGTAAATAAAGAAAATATCTAATTTTTTAAAAAGTGGTTAGCCCTAAAACTATATAGATACAACCCATAATAAAAGAACTCAGTTCATTGTATTTAAATATTGATATATATATTATATATAATATAAATACACATGACACACAGACACATATATGACATGTATTTCTATGTGAAACAAAATAAAATCATCAGTTTGAGAGGAAGTAACAGGATCACATAGGAGAATTTGGAAGTAGGAGTCATGACAAGGATTAGAAATAGTAAAAGGAAGGAAGACAATGATGTTACACATAAATATATAGATATACATATTACATATGTATATTCATATATATGCATATACAAATATTTGGGGGAGGAGATTGAGACAGGGTTCCTCTGTGTATCCTGGCTGTCCTGAAACTAATCTGTAGACCAGGCTGGGCTCAAACTCACAGAGATCTACCCAACTCTGCCTCCTAAGTACTGGGATTAAATGCATCCACCATCATGCCTGGTGTGATGTAATTGTAATAAAGAATTAAAAAGCAATGTGAGGACTAGAAAAAATGCAATTTCTAAGTGCCATAATACTGAGACTTTTAAGAAGTAAATTCTTATTATCCAAATATAAATGTATGATATATATAACATACAATTCAACCTTGTGAATTTAACTATTTTAGTGAAAAATGAGAACGAAAGAGTTTCAGTTAATGATGTCAAGTTCACAAAGGGCACCAGAGCTGTGATTACTGTGATTACAAAGGATAAATATTTGTAACCAAACTTAAAAGACTTTTAAAATGGAAACAATAGCATGGTATTTTTCTGCTGTCACATCTGATTGTACAAGGAATATTTCTTGGATTTGGAATAGATAGCAAACTAATATAGATATTGTCAGGAGCAACCTTGCTTATACACTGAAGGCTTAAATCAGCCATAGGCCTAAGTCAGCCATACATGCCTGCTAACACAAAGTCTTGATCTCTGTGGAAAAACACTTACCCTAGAATAGATAGCTATAGACAGGCAGCCTTAGTGGAAAATTACCAGCCTGGATAAGAACAAGTAGTCATAAACCTTGTGGATAGGTAGCCTTGGTAAAAAGTACCAGCTTAGATAAGAACAAATAAATCATAGACAGAGACATAAGTGGCCTGTTCCCTGCTTCTTCACCCACCCAAAACTCTGTTCTGGAAGATATCTGTACTTCCCCTGAGAACACCTATGTTCCTGCATGATCCCCTTCCCCACATCCTGCCTCTATGTGTATAATAACCCCTGTGTGAAAAAAATTAAAATGATGGTTAGATCAGCCTATAGACAAGCCATCATTCGTTGGGTTAGCCTGTTCCACTATTTTCTCTTTCAAGTGATTCCCCCCGGACCCTGTTCATTGCCCTGCTAGACTGGGCAGATATGAGAATTGGAGAGGTTTAGTTTAGTTGGAGAATAAGAAGTAAAAATAATGTTAAATTAGAGAAGACAAAGGAGAAACATTCTTGCAAATTATCGCTATCTAAAGAAATTTTTAAAAAACATTTAAACTTTTTGTATCATCATCATCAGGATAAGGGGTGGATAACTTTAAGTAATCAAGATACATGTGAAGTCCTGCTTTACAATGTTACAGAATGAGATCGCAATTTCTGGATATGGTTTTTCATGCCTCTGTTCCCATCAATTGGAAGGTAGAGGCAGCACTAAGATATGGAGGTAATCCTCTGCTACATATAAGTTCAAAACCAGCCTGAGCTGTATGAATTAGACTTTGTTTGAAAAATGAAAATAAAATCTCAATTATTGATAGATAACATAATTTCAGAAAACAATGTGTGTAAGACACTACTATAATTATTGTGAGGTTATGTGAATTGTTGTGTCATTATTTTGAAAGATGAAGACACACAAGGGAAGAGCAATTTAACCTCCTGCACTTCAAACATAGACTTTTTAAAAATAATATCCTGAATTAAATGACCAGAATTAAAGAGTAAAATTCTTCTGGACTAAGCCATGCAACATGCCTCAAGTCTAAAATCTAAAAACTGTGGTATTCTATTCTGCTTCTCTGTTGTAAGTCCCTGGATTTTTGCCAACAAGCCCCCAGGAGAAGGCAGGGAAAATGTGGAAGTCAGGAGTCCAAAATAATTCCTGGACTCCTTTCTAGGAAGAACCCAAGTGCCATCAGTATTGCAGAAAGAGAGAGAGAGAGAGAGAGAGAGAGAGAGAGAGAGAGAGAGAGAGGGAGAGAGGGAGGGAGGGGGAGGGGGGGGGAGGGAGAGAGGAGGGGAGACAGGGGGAAGAGGGAGAGGAGGAGGAGGAGGAGGAGGAGGAGGAGGAGGAGGAGGAGGAGGAGAGACAGGCAGAAAGGAACCTGGGTTGGAGGGGTAGAGGGGCAAAGGAGAGGCACCCACAGGTCTACCATTCCTTCCAGGCATCTTAGCACCAGCCAGAGAAGGGAAAGGAAGCGCCCTGGACCAGCAGAACCCAGTCTGATTCAGACTGAGAGCAGAGAATAACAAGAAGCTCAAAAAGAGAATGACTTCCTAGTGAGTTTTAGGCCCAACACTTAAAGACAAAGGCCTTCCCCAACCTCAAGGTGATCTTTCTTGAGGACACAAGCCTTGCTTGTTCATACTGGTTTCTTTGATGGTGAATGTGAATGCATACATGTTATTCAGAGTAAACCATGTATTAAATGTCTTTTGACAGAAGGAATGTCCAGGAAAGAAAGCTCATTGACTGAATGCTCAAGGACTATCTAGATACCTCATTAGCATGGGGAAATCCAGGTATTAATGCTACTTGACCCAGTGGGTGTCCTAGTTACTTGTTCCAGAGTATGCAGAGGCAAGTAAGGGAATGACTCTACTCCTGCTGTTCTCAATTCTGAGATTCCTGAGATTTGAGCTAATTCACACTTACTATTTTTATACCTGTCTGGTAACAAGGTCCCACATGCACTACACAAACTTGCAATTGAGACAGGCTAGGCTAAATTCATGACAGTTTTCAAATTGACAGTTCAGGAGACTAGGCCTAATTCTCTGTTTCCAAGGACTGAGTAAGCCCAGGCAAGTCCAGGCAAGTCCATGCAAGTCCAGGCCTCAGAATCTTCCCTGCTACTTGGCCTGAGGCAAGGACAGTGGGTCAGTAGCAGTTTCCAGACTTCCTCAGCAACAGTTTCCAGTCCCCACCCCATACCCCAGCAATGGTTCTGGAATGTCCCTAGAGATAGAGCCAACAATTAAAATAGAGGCCATCTACCCTTCCCCAGAATTCTCTTAATGTACTTTAAATTGGGCCTGTGGATTCACTGTGGTATTTCTATCTTGGCAATGGGAGACTCCAGCATGCTGGACTTCTGTAGGAAAAGCTCTTTGCTTTTGCATACTATTTCAGTCTGGGGTATCATTCTTCAGTGAACTATGGGCCTTTATACATGCTAGAGGGAGGAAGAAGTCAAGTTCCAGGCTATACTGAGCTACATCACATATTGTCATACTGTGACGCCAGCCTGGACTAAGTAGTTTGATTTTCCTTCAAAATAAGATAACACAATTTATAATTGTCTCTTCTAAAATATCCATTGCTAGGTCAATATTACTGATATACCTTGAAGGAGTTGAGTCATATGAGCTAGAAGGAAGGAGACCCACACTTACTAAATAACTAAAATTATCTTTTTTCTTAATAAACTACTATTGAATTTCTGAGAAACTCCTTGTTCTCTGACCATTCAAATATTTTTATGTTCTCAGGGTTTTCAATGTCTTTATCACTTGGAGAAAAAAATTAGAAGCCTAGTGTCATTGCTCTGAGGAAACAGACTCTGGGGGAGTTTATGTATTTTCATTACTACAAACCATTGAGTCTCACCTTTGCGTAGGAAACAGCCATCTTTTTTTCTTGCTCCAACTTTATTATTTACAATATAATGATAATTTGCTAGTGGGTCATATTTCATGTTCTGAAAGGTAGCTTGTCTCACAACAGCATCCACATCTTCTTCACTCAGTTCTTTTTTTAGAAAGCTGCAGATTTTAAGCACTGAGCTTCTGAGGTCCTGAAATAGTCATGAGTTGAGAAATTACTGACCTTATAATGGACATATGAGTTACAGTCAAACATGAGACATGATCGTGTAAGATTCCTTGTAGAAATGCAAAGATGGCTCAACGTAAGCAAATTAGTGAATGGAGATTATATAAACCCCAGGACAAAAGCCTAATATGATTATTTGTAATGGTACAGAAATAAAAACTTTCAGTAAAACACTACAAACAGCAATAGAAAAAAATATACTTCAAACACAAAAGGCTACATGTAAAATACTTATACATGAAATTATACACAATAGAAAAACATATAAAGATTGTTCAGTTGACATTGCAAATAACTCAAACTTTCCTACCTCTACTTATACAATCCTGGAAATAAATAAAGAACAGAATTGTTCAATAATAGGAAATGCAGAATCTACAGGTCTGGTGTATTTCAATGCAGAAAATGCTAAAAAAATAACAATGACATTCTACAGTAATGTAGAATACAAAATAAAAAAACCACACCAACACAATGGTAAATTAATTAGGAAACTGCATCAAAACTGCATAAAAAAGATCAATAATCTTAACATCAAAATTAGCAAGGACAGGCAGAAATTAACCAAATGTTGCTCAATAAAAACAAATAAAGCAAACAAATGTTTAATGTTAAGAGTTGCAAAACAGTAATTTTAAGATAACCTATAAAACAATCCACACTCAGTATAGTGTTTCTTAAAATCCCATTTTGAAAAATAAAAAAAATCATAAAATTCATTTGAAAAGATACTGTAGAGGTAAATAACCTTAAAAGGTGAGTTTCAATTTATTGTATTCAAACTTCCAGATATCAAGAGAAACTAAAAAACTTATTGTACTCAATTGATATAGTAATTATATAAATAGGACATGTGAGGTAAATTCCTTTTTTTTCGTTTTCTTTTTATTTTTTTAACATGTTAATCAAAGGCTTTATAAGTTTGGTAATGCTCAGTAACAAGATGCCCATACAGTCAGAAGTGTAACCCAATACCCAACCTAGATTTATCAACTATCTTTGACTTGCAGAGACACTCTAACATTCACCTACATGTTCAGTGAGGCAAATTTCTATTCTGGAATTTTACGTATCATTTTAATGAACTGTCATGCTGTGAGTAAATGACCCAGCATATAATTGTTGCTATTTGTAACAAAGAATTTTAAAAGACCTGTAGTAAAATTTTAAATGTGAAATTATGACTTCCATTTTAATGAAACAAATATCACTGACCACAAAAATTTACATAGTCTCTGAGAGAATATTACAGGCTGGTTTCAATACCTCACTTTTGACTCAAGATAGGCTATCCAAATTAAAAATCAATGTAGAAAACTCATCATTAAATTACATCACAGATTAAAATGTTGTGACAACTATATACAGAATATTGTGTCTGCATTTGTCGAGTTTCTACTGTAATAAAACAGTAACCAAAAACAATGAGGCAAGAAACATGTGTATTTCTCAATGCAAGTGATACGGCATCATAAGAAGGGAGAAACTGAAGCAAGGAACACAACCAGAACTAAGGAGGAATGCTGCTTATTGATTTGCAGCTCATGGCCTGCTCACTCTGCTTTTTTATTCAACCTAGGACCTCATGCCCATAGATGACACTGCTCAGAGTGGTCACCACCCTGTTGCATCAATCATTAATTGAGAAAATGTCTCACAGATTTATCTACATTGAATGGGATGATGGCATTTTGACAACTAACACTCGTCTTCCAAAATAACTCTAGTTTCTATCAAGCTGAAAGAACACAAATGGCTCAGGTTCTAAAATCAACAATTGACAAATGGTACCTCATGAAACTGAAAAGCATCTCTAAGGCAAAAGACAAAGTCAATAGGACAATGCAGCAACCTACTGGTTGGGAAAAGATCTTTACTAAACCTACATCCCAAAGGGAGCTAACATCCAAAACATACAAAGAACTCAAGAAATTAGACTCCAAAAAAAGAAATAACCTAATTTTAAAGTGGAGTATATAGCTAAACAAAGAATTCACAGCTGAGGAATCTCAAATGGCTGAGAAACACCTAAAGAAAATGTTCAACATCCTTAGTCATCACGAAAATGCAAATCAAAACAACCTTGAGATTTCCCCTTATACCAATCAGAATGGCTAAGATCAAAAACTCAGGGGATAGCAGATACTGGTGAGGATGTGGAAAAAGAGAACACTGATCCATTGTTGGTGGGATTACAAACTTGTACAATCACTGCACAAATCAATCTGGTAGTTCCTTACAAAATTGGAAATAACACTACCTGAAGACCCAGCAATATCACTCTTGAGAATATACCCAAAAGGTGTTCCACCACATCACAAGGACATGTGCTCCACTATGTTCATAGCAGCCTTAATTGTAATACCCAGAAGCTGAAAACAGTCCAGATGTCCCTCAACTGAGGAATGGATACAGAAAATGTGGTTTATTTATACAATGGAATACTTACTATTCAGCTATTAAAAACAAGGACATCATTAATTTTGCAGGCAAATGAATGGAACTAGAAAATCTTTGCCTGAGTGAGGTAACCTAGACCCAAAAAAGACATGAATGGTATGTACTCACTGTAAGTGGATATTAGCCAAGAAGTTCTGATTACAACTCACAGACTCTAGGAAGCTTATCAAGAAGGAAAGCCCAAGTGTGGGTACCTGAAACCACTTAAAAGTGGAACCAAATAATCATGGGAGGCAGAGGGAGGGAAAAAACTGTGTGAAAGAAGGGAGGAGAAAGAAGAAAAGGAGTGGCAGGATCAAGTATGGGGAGAAACAGAAAGGACTCCCAGAGAGACAGAGGAATGAATCAAAATGTGCAACAGTTGGGGTTAGGAGGCAGGAGGAGCCTCTAGAAAGTCCTAGAGACCTGAGATGTAAGAAGCTGCTGAAACTCAATGGGGATAATATTAGATGAAATTCCCAACAGTGAGGAAATGGAACCTGAAGGGACCACCTCCAGTAGATAGATATGGCATATTGAGGCAGAGGATCACTCACCTATCTTCAAAATTTTTAGCCCAGCATTGTTCCTGTCTAAAGGAAATAAAGGGACAAAAATGGAGCAGAGACTGAAAGAAAGCAAACCCAGTAACTGGCCCAACTTGGGATCCATCCCATGAGCACACACCAAATACTGACAAGATTAATGTAGTCATATTATGCATCCAGACATGAGCCTGGCATGCCTGTCCTGTAAGAACCTGTACCAGCCACTGACTGAGACAAATGCAGATACTTACAGCAAACCATCAGAATGAGGTCAATGAATATGGAAGAGTTGAAGCAGTGAAGGAGCTGAAGGGGATTGAAACCCCATAAGAAGAACAACACTGTCAACTAACTCAGACTCCTCACAGTGCATAGAATCTAAGCTAAACACCAAGGAGCATATATAGGCTGGATCATGGCTCCTGGCATGTGTGTAACAGAGGACTGCCTTGTATGGCCCTAGAGAGAGAATATGTGCTTAATTTTGTGGAATTTTGATGTCCCAGGGTAGAGAGGTGCTGGTGGAGGTGAGGTGAAGGTAAAATGTGGTGGGTACAATGGTTGGTGGGTGAGTGAGCAGCTAATCAAAGGTGGGGAGGAGGAGGGAGTGGGAAAAGAACTAGGGGAGGGGGGAGTTGGAAGGAGAGCAGCTTTTGAAATGTCAATGAAAATAATTTAATAAAGAAAATAAATAGAAAATCTATCCAGAACACATTAAGTTATACTGTATAGCTACAGTAATATTAAATAAATAAATAAATAAATAAATAAATAATAAATAATAAAATGGTGCTTTTTTTCTATTCCAATATTCCACAGTGCTCATTGACTAGAATTCAAGACTTACATATATGCACACACTCTTATAGTAATCTGATTTCTACAAAAAAAGAAACAACACACATTTGATAAAAGACAGGAAATGGAGAGATGGTTCAGCCCTTAAAGGCTAGGCTCACAACCAAATATAAAAGAAAAAAGACAGCATCTTCAACATATGGTGCTATTCAATCTAGAAAGCTACAAGAAGAACAAAACTAGATTCTTATTTCACCATGACATAAAGCTCAACTCCAAACTGATGACAAATTGATGACATAAACATAAGATCTGATACCTTAAATGTGATAGAGGAGAAAGGTGAGACAGGAAAGATTTTCTGAACAGTATCCGGATAGCACAAGGAATAAGTGGGGCTACGTGAATAGGTTTCTATACAGCAAAGGACACTATCATTTGAGTGAAGAGGTAGTCTAAAGAATAGGAAAACTTCACCAGCAATACAGTTGACAGAGGATTAGTATCTAGAATATACAAAGATCTAAAAGAAAAACAAAAATAAAATTCTAGACACCAATTAGGAAAAACAATGCAGTTAAACTAAACAGAGTTCTCAAAAGACAAAACAGAAGAGGCTAGAATATGTTTTTTATAAATACATCAGGGCAGCACAAACTGTACTTCAGAGAAAAAGAAAAACACAGGTTAGAAACTTGAGTAGATAGGAAAGGGAGGAGTGAGGCAAGAGGTCAATATGATTAATTGGGGGGAAATTTTCACAGAAATAATAAAATGACACAAAAATATATAAATAGACAAGCATACTCTGAAAAGGACCCCAACAGCTTAGGAAGTGATGGGAACAGTGGTAAAGTGATCACATCAAAGTAAGGGTTTTGGGCAGCAAAGTAAATAATCTGCTGAGTTAAAAGACAATCTTCAGAATGGAAAACAAGCAAACAAACAAACAAAACAATATATAAGTCGGAGTGTTTAGTATCTAGGAAATATAAAAATGTAAAAAAAAAAAAAAACCACCCAAAATCCAAATCATCTAGTCAGTAAAGGAGCTAATAAGTAGACAGTTCTCAAAAGAAAAGAGACAAGTGATCAATGAGCATTTGAAAAAAAATATTCAAAATCCCTATCAGTGATATGCAAAATGCAACTCTTTTAAGACTCCATCTTATCCCAG